GGGCGACAGAGTGAGACTCCAACTCAAAAAAAAAAAAACCCTAAACTCTCTTAAATGGCCCAGTTCTGTAAACATACAAGTATTGTTGTGTAGTTTCTACTATATTATTTTAAAATTTGCCAAGTTTTTTTAAAAACAGTTTTTCTCCTTTGAACTTCCAATACCCTTTAAAGTAGACCGAATAGGATGATATTTCCTCTGGCTTACTGATGAATAAACATGCCTGAGTTTACCTAAGTAGCAGAGAGGAGACTAAAGCCTACATTTTCTAAATCCTTGCATAGTGGAGGCAGAATTATGTGGTAGACTATGAGCTTTGGAATCAGGCAGGATTGGATGGAATCTTAGTTCCGTTATAAGCAATGTCATCTTGAACAACTCACCATCTCTAAATTTCAATTGTCTTATCTGTAAAGTGGAGATAATAGTACCTCCTCCTGAGGTTGTTAAATGAGACAACTTCTAAAATATGCCTGGCACATAGTTGCTTAGTAAAGGTACCACCTTGAGGATAAGTAGGAAAAAAAAAAAACAGCTTAAGAAAATGAGAATTTGCCGGGCTTGGTGGCTCAGCCTGTAATCCCGCGCCTTTGGGAGGCTGAGGTGAGTGGATTGCCTGAGCCCGCGGGTTCGAGACCCGCCTGGGCAGCGAGACCTCATCTCTACAATCAATCAAAAAATCAGCCGGGCGTGGTAGCGCATGCCTGTAATTCCGGCTACTTGGAAGGCTGAGGCGGAAGGATCCCTGGAGCCCAGCAGGCGAAGCTGCGGTGGCCGGGAGCGGCCACTGCACTCCAGTCTGGGCGACCGAGTGAGATGCCAACTCAAAAAAAAAAAAAAAGAAAATGAGAATTTAGCATAGGGAACACATAACAAAGTTGGGATCTGATTCCAACTAATGAGTAGAATATTGATGGAATTTTGAGCTTGTGGGTTGCTTAGCAACCAAAATTAACTCAATACCACTGGCTACCAAGTTGTTGTTGTTAATCAAAGCAGTAATTAAACTGCTCTTAAGGAGCTTGAGGTTGTCAGCAGACAAAGAATTCCCCTATGAATTCAGGGTTGTGCCAGACATTTTGAAAAAGTGATGCCTCAACTTCTCTGTGTGCCCCTGGGTGACGGAAGATGCTAGAACATCTGTTAAACTGGATAGAGGGCAGAACTGGAGAAGGCAGAGTGCTTGCACTTCTCCGCCAATGTATTCAGTCAACATTCCACGGAACGCCGGGGTCAGAAATACAAAAACATTTGTCTTGTCCTGTTGCCCTTTAGAATTTCGGAGTCTAGGAGAGAAAGTCAGACAGTGTTGAATAACCGTATAGCAAATTATTTCCTGAGTGGTTGTCTATGTCCCCAGCAGTATTCTAAGCGTTCTGGATTGAACAGTACAGGCAGCTATATAGCAGGTCTTAAACATTCACTCTTAGGATTTTCATTTTTTCCTAACAAAGCAGTTCTGGAAGAACAGCTCACTCTGGCTCCCCAATGCATTCGCATCTGACTCTCAGCCTTGAGAGGCGGCACTGCTTGCTGGAGAGGGCCTGCAGCGGACCGGAGGGAGACCTGGGCCTCCACACTGCCATATATGACTGACTTGCTGCCGGTTTCACCTGAAGCCGAGACTTAACCAAGCTGTGCACGGCTTTTCTCATTTATACTCTGGGCATGATGATTTAGACTCTGCCTACCTTGTGGCAATGAGCATGACACGTGGGATAATAAATGTAAATGTCCTGAAGGAACAAACGCCGTTTCTGAGCTAATCTTCATCCTTTTGCCACAAGGTTTAGATCACATTTCATTGCACACCTTTGTGTCTTCTTTTACATTCCTTTCTTCCTTTATAACTCAGAGTCTAAACTTAAAGAGGAAAAAAACAAATGGGTGAGCTGGAACTATTGCGTTTATTTTGCCCTTAAGTTCGTCTCCATCTTTGCAGCTCAGTGTGCCAACTTCTTTTGCAGGGAAGCTCGTCTTTATTGCTTAGGGAAGAAATCCATTGTGTCACTTTGGCATGTCAGCATCTATTTACGCCAAAGCACGACTGCAGGCCTGCGGGTCTTTAAGGCAGGCGGCTGGCTGATGAATCAAGTTCAACATGCATACAGTGCTGCCCGCGCGTATCCGAAAGCCACGCCCACTCTTCACCTGCTCCTGTCAGTTCTTCCTCTTCTAATAAAGTCCATCTGTTTTGGTGACCGAATAAAAACACACCACATGGAGAAGGCTGGGTGTGGAGTAATTCAATCAGGGCAATACAGGATCGAGGGTAAAAAGATGGTTTGGGAGCAGCTTAATGAAACAGGAGTCAACTGGGAAGGGCCGGAAGCACAGTTCCTTACAGTCATCATGGGTCATACTCCTGGAATGGGGGAGCCCACCAGAGCCCCACTTAAGATTTTTTAAAGGACACAATTTCCAGAAGTTCTCTTCTGAATTGCCACAAACACTTTACATGGAATAGCATCAATTTAACATTTCACTGAGGATTATAAATTTTTAAGGAAGTTCAAGCCAAAGTTCAGAGCACCACAAAGCGATTCTTTTAAATATCGGCTTTTGTGGCTGTGTTTGGCATCCTGAAGAATTGATTGATTTAAAATACCCCGGTTTTAAAACAGCAGGGAGACTGACATTTGCAGTCTGGTGTTTTGCAGTTATTATTCCTCATTGTATTTTTAAAACATGTTTCTTTGTTGTGACTATCCAGTAATACAGATTTTTGTGTTTTTTTCAAAGAAGAGAAGTTGAACGTCTTCAGGATGCTGATCCACCTTGAATTTCATTATCTCATAGGTTGATTGTGGGGAGAATAATTAGGGATCCATAGAATGTTTGAAATATATTTGAAAGCAGGTAAAAATAGTAACATGACCTTGAGTTCTGTGTCTAGGATTGTTTTTCCTTTTCTTTCTTTTTTTTTGAGTTGGAGTCTCACTCTGTTGCCCAGGCTGGAGTGCAGTGGCACGCTCATGGCCACCACAGCCTGGACCTGCTGGGCTCAGGCGATCCTTGCGCCTCAGCCTTCCAAGTAGCTAGAACTAAAGGCATGTGCCACCACACCTGGATAATGTTTTTGATTTATTGTAGAGATGAGATCTCACCACGTTGCCCAGGCTGGTCTGGTCTCGAACCCGTTGGCTCAGGCAATCCTCTCACCTCAGCCTCCCAAAGTACTGGAATTACAGGCGTGAGCCACTGCACTTGGCCCTTTTTTTTTTTTAATGATTTACCTGGCAGTGTTGTTAAAGTCATGTCTTATTGAGAAAAGGATCGCTATCCAAAATGAAAAACCAGGAACCACAGCAGTTCCCTTATTTCACTGTGCCTTTTTTACTCAGCTAAGTCGTTTTCACCTCTGTATTTTTCCCCCCATGGGACAAGATCTGTGATATCTGATATTTTATTAACAGGTGTTCTGGAAATAATCTATTTCAAAAATAAAACACTAAATATAGCACAAAAGTTCACAGCTTTGGAATGTTATTATGGTTTCTAAAAAGTCAATCTAATGAATGCTTTACACTGAAATAATTTAGTGTTAGGAAAGCCGGTGGCAAATGACACATATTTCCTATAGCTCTGTCATCATGGCTAGTTCACTCCTGACTCAGATCACATATTAGCATTTTTACCATATGGCTGAAAGGGTAGAGAATATATGTGCAGAAGAACAGAATTGGTAACATTTTTGACCATCTGGTAAATAAATGTGTAAGTAGCAGGAATATTAATATTTATTTAGTTCTATAGATGCAAATTTTAACACAAAATAACTACCAATACAGCCCAGTAGTTCTTTTTTTTTTTTTTTTTTTTTGAGTTGGAGTCTCACTCTGTCGCCCAGACTGGAGTGCAGTGGCCGCTCTCGGCCACCGCAGCCTCGACCTGCTGGGCTTCTGCGATCCTTCCACCTCAGCCTTCCAAGTAGCTGGAATTACAGGCGTGCGCTACCACACCCGGCTAATTTTTGATTTATGTAGAGATGAGGTCTCGCTGCCCAGGCGGGTCTCGAACCTGCAGGCTCAGGCAATCCACTCACCTCAGCCTCCCAAAGGCGTGGGATTACAGGCTGAGCCACCGAGCCCGGCTGCCAAGTAGTTCTAAATGTATATTTCTTAAATAATTTCAATGGAAATTATTAAACATTTCATAGTCTATCATAGTCTATCAGTGCTCTTAACATCTGACTCCTAGTTATGTGTTTATGTTTACTGATTTAGAGGCCACATGAGTGGATGAGCATGAATGTTAAAGTTTTGCTCTGCCACTGACCACTGTATGACCTGGGAGAGATGACTTGGGCTCTCTGAGCCTCAAATTCTTCACATGTAGAGAGGGAATTGTATATTGTCAGACAGTATCCCTCAAAGGGTAGGCCATGGGGAACATGAGTGAATGCATCAGAATCACTCATTGATTCTGATTCAGTGTGTCTGGAAGCAGCCTGTGAATATGCATTTTTACTCTCTCTTCCAAGTGGTTCTGAGGTACCCTGAGCCACTGCTATGGAGACTAGATGAATAGAGAGCACTTAACGACCTTGAATATGTAGCTAGCTAATTTTAATAAATATACTTTTTTTTAAGTCAGAGTCTCACTCTGTCCACTAGGCTGGAGTACAGTGGCACGATCATGGCTCACCTCAGCCTCCCTCAGGCGATCCTTCCACCTCAGCTTCTCTAGTAGCTGGGACTACAGGTATGCTTCCACACTCAGCTAATTATTTTTATTTTTTTTTAGTGTTGCCTAGGCTGGTCTCGTGTTCCTGGGCTCAAGCGATCCTCTCGCCTCCATCTCCCAAAGTGCGGGGAACAGGCATGAGCCACCGCGCCCGGCAAATATACTTTTTATACCATAGAAGTTTAGCACTTGTCAGCACTTATGCTTGAACTACTCTAACTATAGAAAATAGGAGGTCAGCTTGCATAAATAATGCTGTTGATTCATTGATATGCTCTTGTTTAATTAGATCCTTTATCTTTTTTTTCTCTTGCACAGGAAATAGCAAAATATTTGTGGACTCGATCTAAATCAGGAGCCCAGAAAAACCTGAAGATGATAGCGTGGGATTCTTAGGTTTTCGAGATTCACACACACCAAATTTGTAATCATCACAAACTCCACTGTCCAGGTTTTGTCTGGCTTTATGAAGACAGCAAAATTCTGATGATGGAAAAGCAGAGAACTTAATCACTTGCTTCAGTATCATCGAAAGGCAACTGAAAAGCGAACCAGGCAGTCATACAGCCATGGAAAAAAATTCAAGTTTATGGAAGAACCTGATAGACGAGCACCCCGTCTGCACAACCTGGAAGCAAGAGGCCGAAGGAGCCATTTATCATCTTGCCAGTATTTTATTTGTAGTAGGTTTCATGGGCGGCAGTGGATTCTTCGGGCTCCTCTATGTCTTCAGCTTGCTAGGGTTGGGTTTTCTCTGTTCTGCTGTCTGGGCTTGGGTGGATGTCTGTGCAGCCGACATATTTTCCTGGAATTTCGTACTCTTTGTCATCTGTTTCATGCAATTTGTTCACATTGCGTATCAAGTTCACAGCATAAACTTTGCCCGAGAATTCCAGGTGCTGTACAGCTCCCTTTTCCAGCCCCTGGGAATCTCTTTGCCCGTCTTCAGAACGATTGCTTTGAGCTCTGAAGTGGTTACTTTGGAAAAGGAACACTGTTATGCCATGCAGGGGAAAACTTCCATTGATAAGCTCTCCCTGCTTGTTTCAGGAAGGTTTGTACCCTCAGTGCTTGCATGTCTTTCCTCTGTATTAGTTATTTGTTTGTGTATCTTGCCACTATATTTTCCATATCAGGGTAGCAGAGTCCTGGATGGCATTAAGCACCCTGAGGCTTGAGAAAGTCTTTGATACATGAGTCACAGACAGTGGGATTTATAGTACATGGCATTATTTACTTGAAGCAGGAAATAATCTAGAGCCCTAATATTTTGTCTTTGGAATAAAATGACATGAATATTAAAGTAAGAATTTGTTTTTCTAGATATATTATTTATTTCCTAGCTAATCACTGAAAGTCAAGAAGAGGATGATGTCAGCTTGAATTAATAGAGTACTTATGTTGGCATGCTAAGTATTTTAAATAGACTTTTTGACAGGGCATTCTTTTATGTAACAGAGAACACTTAAATTTTATGATTATCCTTTTTTTTTTTTTTTTAGTAAATTCTAGCAATTGCCCACTTGTGAGAAGTGTGGAGAGGAATATCTCAAGAATATATATATATAGAGAGAGAGAGAAATCTAAACTTTGAAAACAAAGTTTTGGGGAGGAAACAATAATGGGATTTCTTATTTTTTTAAAAAGTTAAAATTTGCTTTACAGAGGTATTTACAACAGAAATCTTTCATGTTCTTAAATGTCCTCCTACTTAATATCTGACTGGGTGTACACTGAAACTTTTAATTAAAATATAATATACACACATACGTGGAAATATATCATAAATGTACTACTTGATGAATTTTCTGATGAATTTCACTCAGTATTCCAGAATCCTAACTCTGTAATGATTATCAGTACATGAATCCTTTGGACTATTAAGTTTCTTAGTGTTATGTATGAATTTCATATTTTGCCTTTCAAAGTTCTAAAGGGCAAAACAGTCATCAGAGATCTGAAATACACTTCTTGTATCCCCCACCCAGTTATGTGCTGTCTCTCACTCCCTCATAAATGATGTTCTTGTGTTTTGGTAGGATCAGAGTGACAGTTGATGGCGAATTTCTGCATTACATTTTCCCCTTTCAGTTCCTGGATTCCCCTGAGTGGGATTCACTGAGACCTACCGAGGAAGGCATCTTTCAGGTAAAGGGGTAGCTGAACCACAGGGTTAATGCACCCTCTTCCAAACAGACGTTTGCTTAAAAACAAACAAACAAACAAACAGAACAGAACAGTGAATAAGACAAGGATCACTGGCATTTATTGTTATTTTAGCTTCGGAATATAATTTGCAGCACACGTGACTTACCAATTGTGTTTGGCTCCGCTGATTAATACTACTTAATTAAAGTCCAACAACAAGGAGAAAAAAAGGTGTTATATATTCTAGGAAGGAGTCCATGAGAAACATCCTTAAGCTTTTCTTTACACAACTGTGTATGTGGGAATTAAAATATAATTCATGGAGATTTGACTGAACTAAACACTGGTCATGTGACAGTCTGGAAAACATCAAGAACAAAACACTGCACTCATTAAAAAATAAATGATTTTTAAAATTTAAAATGGATCTAAGTTGTTTTCCAGCAGCAGAATGCTAAATTACTTTCACTACTCTGCTGCCACATCTGGTTGTTTTGAAAGATAGTCATTTCAGTAGGTTCCATTTATTATGTACACTGTTTTCCTATGAATTAATAATACATGTAATATACGTGTGTATATGCAAAAACTCACATACATATGCAAATTAAGTACAGAAACTCTATTTATAACTACAGAAACTGAGTTTTTAAAAAAATTCATTTATAACTACAGAAGCAGAGTTAGGGTTAAATGTCGACAGTCTTCAGAATTGACTTGGAAAACTTCTTTAACATTAGCCAACTTTATTTTATTTCTTGCTTTTTTAAAAAAAATTATTTATTTATTTTAAAGATGTGGGGTACAATTCAGGATTAGGTATACAAATGGTCATTGTACAGATAAAATTCGGGCCTGGCTTTGGTGCCCAATATTTTATTTTTTAAATATCAAGTTTCTCTCCCTTCAATAAAATGCAAAATATAGATACCCAAATTTAGAAAAATAGAAAATTGGAGATGACCACAACATTATGATTACTCACATTATAAATTATATATGTAGTGATACATTTTGTAGTTTTTTTTCCCCAACATATTGTGAGTCAGTGGGTTTTTTCAACCTATAAAATGCACCAAGTGAAATTTAGGAAAAAAATGTGTCAGAACTTTTCTTCCTTCCTAATCTTTGTTGACATACGGTCTTATGTTTTTTAGGTAACCCTCACAGCAGAAACTGATTGTCGCTACGTGTCTTGGAGGAGAAAGAAATTATATTTGCTCTTTGCCCAGCATCGTTACATCTCCCGCCTGTTTTCAGTGTTAATTGGCAGTGACATTGCAGATAAACTGTATGCCTTGAACGACAGGGTATACATGGGGAAAAGATATCACTATGACATTCGGTTACCCAACTTCTATCAAATGTCAAGTCCAGAAATGCGCAGATCACCCCTGACAGAACATTTTCAGAATTCCAGACGGTATTGTGATAAATGACATCAAAGTCTGAAATGCAGAAGTATAAAAAAAAAAAAAAGACTCTTCATCATTCCCCAAATGAAATAGCAAAATACAGAAAATTGATCTAATATTTTTATACATCAAATTCAGAGGCGAGATGTCACTGCCAACTGTTTTATTCATTTCAACTGCTGCACTGCGAATAAATTTTGCAAATCTTTCTTGTATTTCTTACTATTATAATTGGGGAAGGGAGGAATATGGGCAGTTTGCCCTTTTCTGCATCAGAACTGGGAGGAAGAAATTTCATGTTCTCAAAGATTTTCTCAGATTTGTTCAAATGTATTGTCATGCCCTGTGGACTCAGGTGTTCCTTCTCAAGAAGCAGCCAGCAAGGGCCAGGTGCGGTGTCTCATGCCTGTGATCCCAGCACTTTGGGAAGCCTAGGTGAGAGGATTGCTTGAGCCCAGGAGTTCAAGACTAGCCAAGGCAACAGAGTGAGACCTTGTGTGTACAAAAGTAATTTTTAAATTAGCCAGTCATGGTGGTATGTGCCTATAGTCCCCAGCTACTTGGGAGGCTGAGGCAGAAGGATTGCTTGAGCCCAGGAACCCAAGGCTACAGTGAGCCGTGATCATTCTACTGTACTCCAGCATGGGAGACAGAGTGAGACCCAACCCCCCCCCAAAAGCAGCCAGCAAGTATTCTCAGGATGAGAGTTAACTGCCACTGTTCCACATGGGCATTTCCAGAACTCACTTTTTTGTTGCAACCTTTGATGAAAGAAAAATATATTATTGTGGTGGGCGGCGATTATTTATTTTAAATGTGAAGTTTATTTGATATGACTAAAAAGTAGAATAAATGCAAGAGGTGATACTATACCAATCTTGAAGACTATTTATATTGCTACAAGTAATTCCTAAACTTAATCTTCATAGTATGATTTACAAAGAGGCATTTCGTGGAAAACAACGCTGCTTAATAATGACTGAGTAAAAATACCCATGAGCCAACAGTAAAGACATTGCACAGTGTTTCAATGGCACATGTTCAGCTGAAAGAGCAAGAGTCTGTGATTTGGAGTGGCAGAGTCGTGGCGAATGCTCAGCCCGCCACACAGCACAGGGGTCTGCCTCACAGCCTGTCCTTCAGTTTTGTGAAGAAGAGCTTAGGAGAGAGACAGACCCCTAGTCACAGATCTGGCCCCTACCTTTGGAAAACTGGTTTTCTGCCAATCACATGCAGGCCATGTCTTTGGTTGGGAGCTACATGATCACACATTTAACAGTGTGTATTGAGCAACTTCTGTGGCTCCCGGCGCTGATCTGGACGTTGGGGACCCATCAAGGAATACATGGAGATCCCATCCCTCATAGAGCTTACATGCTGGGGATGAGGGAATCGGATAATATGAGGGGGGACCCCCAAAAACCAGAATTGTATTTTGGAGGGTGGGCCCCTGTACTCCCCTGCTAGGTGAGTGTTCTAGGAACCCATTATCATCAGTGAACCGGCTAGCATTGTGAGAGGCTGCATTCGGCCTCAGTGAATTTTTTTTTTTTTTGGAGATTCTTTCAGTGCCTTTGTCCATTTCATGATGGGTGACTTACGAGTGCATCTGCCCACACTACGCTGAATGTTCAGCAGTTTCTGACCAAAAACTCCCTATTCACTCTGTCTCACTCCAAGTGACTTTTTTATTTCCTGGATGAAAAAAGTCCTCAAAGGGAAATGTGCCAATATGGGAGAGATGAAACAAAAAAATGACAAAAGCACTAAAAAGCCTCAAAAGTGACACATTCAAAAACTTTGAGCAGTGGAAAAAAGTCTCGATAGGTGTATTGCATCAGAAGGAGAGTACTTTGAAGGTGACTGAAGTTTAAACATGTAAGAATCAATACACCATTTTTAATAAATAAATTTCAGGGGGTTTTTGGGGTCTCCCCTTGTAATCAGAAAAACCTGATTAGAAAGTGAGGCTGGGCATGGTAGCTCATACTTGGAGTCCCAGCTACTCGGGAGACTAAGACCAGGAGGATTGCTTGAGCCCAGGAGTTCAAGACTGCTGTGAGCTGTGATCACACCACTGCACTACAGCTTGGGCAACAGAACAAGACCCTGCCTCAAAAAAAAAAAAAGGAAAAAGGAAAAGAAAGTGATAGTGCCATGGAGAATGGTAAATCAAAGGAGGTGGATAGGAAAGGGCACTGCAATTTTAATAAGGTGGTCAAAGAAGGCCTCAACAAGAAGTCAATGTGTGAACAAAGAAAGAAGCTAAGGATCCATGAAGATATCTGGGGGAGAGCAGCCTGGACAGAGAAAACAGCAAAGGAGCAGAACTTTAGGCACGAGCATGACTGGTCTGCTCCAGTAGCAGCCAGAAGGCCAGCAGGGCTGGAACAGAATGAGCACCAAGGAGAGACAGAGAGGTACCAGAGGGCAGATTGGGTGGGGCCTAAGCCATGGTAAGGACTTTGACTTTTCTTCTGAGAGTGAACAGAAGTCATTGTGAGCTTTAAAGTAGAAGAGCGGTGAAATCTGCCCCACGTTTTAAATAGGATCACTCTGGCTAACATGCTGCATACACACTAGTCACTAGAGGGAGGCAGGGCCAGAGCAGCCTTGAAAAAGAAGATTAGAATTGAGAGGGAGAGGCCCACTAGACTTGGAAGTAGAGTAGATAGTTGGATACTTGAGTCTGGAGTTCAAGAGTAAAGTGTGGGCTGGAGAGAGAGCTTGGGAGTATGTGGCATATAGATGGTGTTTAAAGTCATGCATCTAGATGAAGTGGCCAGGAGAATGAGTCTAGATTTGGAAGACAAATGGTCTGAGGACTTGCCTGGGCACCTCATTCGGGCAGGGAGATGGGAAAAGATGACAAAGGATCTGAGAAGGAGTAGCCAATGAGGTGGGGAGTGTGGGGTCCTAGAAGCCAAAGAGAAAGTGTTTCAAAAAGGAAGTGATGAACTGTCTGAGAGGCCTGAGAACAAACCATTGGGTTGACAAACGTTGAAGTCACTGGGGAACTTAACAGGGTCAGTGTTGGTGGAGTGATGGAGGACAAAAGTTTGACTGAGGCAGGTGGAAGGGAATTGTTACGGTCTGAGTAATGCTTAGCTGCTCCCCTTGATACCAATAAACCAAAGGGGCAGGGAACTGGGAGAAAGGAGTTTATTTCTGAGTTCGGCTGGATTTGAGGTCTTTCTAAAATGGTTCTGCTTATCCATCAGGCCTCGCGGTCCACTTTTATAGTCCAGAGTTGTCGGTACCTATACATTAGGTACCTATACATTAGCCACGTGACCAGCAGAGCATTGTATAGAACTTCAGTAGTGACATTTTGAGTAAAGGAAGTTTACAAGGCCTAAGACATCATGCATTGCAAAAGTTCCACCAATCACAAGACTTAACATTGAAAGGGAGTAAATAGGGATTTATATCTTTGGGCGTAGTCTGCAGGGAAGTCAAGGATCCCCTGAAGCTCCTTACTGGGAGTGCACAGAAGACCAGGGGACTCTCAGTCATGTGCTCAGGAATGTACAGGAGTGATTGAATCCCCACCATGCCCTTCTTTAGGGACTGTGGCAACACGGAGGGACGTTGGTGGGTCCCTTGATCAAAATGGGAGGCAAGAAGTTGGAACAGCAAGGGTAGATACATTTTTCAAGGAGTTTTAATGGGATGGGGAAATTGGAAACGGACAGTAGCCTGAGCAGAAATTGGGGGGTGAGAGAGGTGGTTACTATTGTTTTTAAGATCGATGGCACATTTGCATGTGGGTAGAAGAGATCCGGATGCCAAAAGTGAATTGCTGGGGTGGTGACCTTGAGCGCCTGGGTAAGTGATGGTGGGATCCAGTGTCCTTAAACAGATGTGCGAACAATTCATCATTAGAAAGGAGAGAAAACTAAGTATATGGGAGAGTGGTTGCTGGCACGTTGGAGGTGTCGTGAGAGCTTGTGAAAGTTCTCTAGTGATTACTTCTATTTTCTCAGTGACTTAGAAAGCAAAGTTAGCAAAGAAAGAAGTTTTGAGGTTATGTAAAGTACATTACTTTTTTGGTATGTCATCTGCCATAAGTAGGACAGTGTGACAAGGTCTGAATCATTAGTCTGGGTGAGCTACTGAGCTAGTCAAGTCCACTATGAATGAAAGGAGTCGTTGGGATGATTTCTTCTGTCTCCTGGCCACACGTGGCCATCACAGGCAGCTCTTCCAAGCAGACACATGGCAGCTGTCTGCCAGGTACAATCAAAGGCCTGCTAGAAGCACCCACTGGCTTGTCAATGAGCATCACAATGGCTCTGGAAGAAATCTGTTTCTTTGAGTCTTTAAGACTTTGTGGTATTTATTAAGTATTAAAATGCCAAGAACCCTACGTAGGAATCATACCTTAAGTTAGTACCAGGTAATAATTTAACAGAGATTAATTGTCGGATAGCTTTCTTTTTTTTTTGAGTTGGAGTCTCACTCTGTTGCCCAGACTGGAGTGCAGTGGCACACTCATGGCAACCACAGCGTTGACCTGCTGGGCTCAGGCAATCCTTCTGCCTCGGCCTTCCAAGTAGCTTGAACTATAGGCACACGCCATCACACCTAGCTAATTTTTGGATTTATTGCAGAGATGAGGTCTCACCAAGTTGCCCAGGCTGGTCTCGTACCCGTGGGCTCAGGCAGTCCTCTCACCTTGGTCTCCCAAAGTGCTAGGATTATAGCAGTAAGCCACTGGGCTGATCTATCAGATAGCTTTCTAACCATGAGAGTCATCTAAGAACAAAGTCACACAGAATTGGGATGCAGACTTTTGGCTCAAATTATGTGGCAGAGGGAGCATGAGAAGATCCTTATATATGTTTTTGAGAAATTGAAGAGTTTTGAGTATGGGGAGGAAAGGGTACAAACATAATGGTATAATGGGAAAGCAGGGGAAAGGAGTGCTTTATTTTTATTTTATTTACTTTTTACTTCATTTTATTATAAAGATGTGGGGTACATGTCAGGATTAGGTACATAAGTAATTTACAAGCAGGTGAAGTTTGGGCACCCAATCTTCCCCTGGTTTAGGACCAGGTTCCCCTTGGGTTGTTACATTCCCTCCCCCCTTTCTGCCTCCCCTGGCAGTGTCCTACGACTGCCAGTCTATCCCTAGTGCTATTGTGATTAATGTTCAGGTCCCACTTATGAGTGAAGACTTGTGGTATTCAGCTCTTCGTTTCTGTGATAG